AGTGTGTGTCACGCGATCGTCTGTTTACTCGGCAGCAACCATTGTGTGGTCCTCCTCATTGTTCTTCATCAGCAGTTCTTTCAGTCGATGCGTCGTCGACTTTGGAAAGCAACCATTTCGTGATGAATGTGTGAATGCTGACCATGTTTTGCGTCCATTGCTGCAATGGAAGCGCTCTGATCCCGTTGGCGAATATACTATGTAATGAAACCACTGGAAGCGGCTCCCGTTCTGGTGGAGGAGGCTTATTGGATAGTGGAAGATAAAATATTTATTGACTATTGTTTTAAGATGGTTTAGTGAACAAGAATCCTCGGCTCTGTAAAGTTAGTTCGATTGAGCCTTATCAAATAAATAAAAAAAAACAAATACAATGTTTTAAATTTCTGTTCATTGCCTTTCATTGTTTTTTTTTTTCTAGACCATCGTAATTGGCTATAATACATAATACATAACGTGTAGCAACATATCATATAAATTGAATTAGATAAATCATAACAAATAGAGAAAAATTTAAATTGCACTTCTAGGTGATTTTTTTTTCTCTTAAAATTTTACTTAAAACGCATTACAAGCAAACAGTGAAACTATTTCAACATATTGTTTTTTTTTTTTCATTTAGAATCTGGCCTACATGTTGTGTCAAATACTTTTTTGTGGGCGTCTTTTAGGTAAGTATTTGGTTCAGCAAAGGTAAGATAAATCAATAAACATATAAAGTATGCGTTCGATTGTGGAAACACTACTGTATTATGATATTGCCGATATATTTATATACATACATTAAATGCAAAGGGTAGGGATGGGACCACCAGGGCACCTGATTGAAGCGATTTGGATGGGGAGAGTGGGATTGCTAACTTCCTGTCATTAACATTTCGTGAATTGACGGCGGCCTCTTCTCCCCATTCATTGGGACGTTCCCTAGTATGATGGCTTGTTCTACATCGCGATGCAGGATTTTATCATTGGAAGAAGATTCTCATGATCCCACGGATTGCGCGTAAGTGTATCTGCTTACGGGTCCACCCTCCGTTTTTAGCCCTTCATACAGTGTTATTTTCAATACAGGCAGGGGTAGAACTTGATCAAGTCATACTTGGACGGCGATCCACTGTCTAATGGTTGTGCCTTGCAACAATGGGCGGTGTCCTTTACATACATACATACATACATGCAAAGGCCCTGACAGATCTGATCTGTGCAGGAAATGCGGAGAGAAGGGGCACGTTGTACATACTGTACAAAGCAACCGAGGTGCATGCTCTGCAAAAAGGAGGACGGAAACGGCCATGTGACGGGAAGCTTCAGGTGCCCAGAGTTCAAGAAGGCGATGGTGGGTCAGAAATAATGAAGGTAACCCAAATAAATCTCAATCATTGAAACACAGCACAGCAGCTGTTGTGGCAGTCGACAACGGAAACAAAATGCGACGTGGCTATCATTGCAGAGCCATATCGAGTCCCTCTCGATAATGGTAACTGAGTGGCGGATAGAGCAGGAATGGCGGCCATACAAGTCATGGACAGGTATCCCATTCAACAAGTGGTGGCGGGCTCATACGAAGGTTTCGTGATCGCCAAAATCAATGGAATCTATGTATGTGGTTGCTACGCACCCCCGAGATGGACACAATTGAGCAGTTCCACCAGATGCTAGATGGGCTCACCGGACAGCTCATTGGACGGAAACCAGTCGTCATCGCAGGAGATTTCAATGCTTGGGTAGTCGATTGGGGAAGCAGGTGTACCAACGCAAGAGGGCATAGCCTGCTGGAAGCTCCGGAAAAGTTGAACGTCAGTCTGGCAAACTTAGGAACCATCAGCACCTTCCGCAAAGATGGTAGGGAATCCATTATCGACGTCACTTTCTGCAGTGCGTCGCTAGTGGCAAATATGAACTGGAGAGTGTGCGAAGAGTACATCGTCAGGCGATCCGGTACAGTATCGGCGAACGGACACCGTTGGAAATACAGAGGACGAAAGTAAGCGAGCGGAAGTGGAAGACGAATGCGTTCAATAAGGATCTCTTCATCGAAGCTCTAAGGGTAGACAGCAGCGCGAACGAGTTGACCGAATCATTAGCAAGGGCATGTGACACAACTATGCCGAGAAAACTGGAACCAACGAACAGGCGGCGTCCAGCATACTGGTAGAACGAGGAAATTAGCACCATCCGTGCTAGTTGTCTTCTAGCCAGATGGTGCGTTCAGAGAGCAAGAACGGAAGCAGACAGAGAGGAGCGCAAGGTGGTGTTCCGAGAGGCCAGGGCTGCACTAAAACGAAAGATAAAGCCGAGCAAGTCAAACAGTTTCAAGGAGCTGTGCCGCGATGCCGATGCCAACCCCTGGGGCAACGCATACCGAGTCGCGATGGCGAAGATCAGAGGTCCAACGATGTCGGTTGAAATGTGTCCCAACAAGCTGAAAGTCGTCGTGGAGGGACTTTTCCCACAGCATGACCCAACGAACTGGCCACCTACACCATATGGCGAGGAAGATAAAGATAACGTTGAACAAGTCTCCAACGAGGAGCTCCTAGTAGCAGCGAAAGGGTTGAAGGCGAAGAAAGCTCCCGGCCCGGATGGAATTCCCAACGTGGCGTTGAAGACGGCGATCCAGACGTTCCCGGACATGTTCAGGATAGTGCTGCAGAAATGTCAAAGCCCGGAAAACCGCTGAGGGATCCTGCATCGTATAGGCCAATATGCTTGCTGGTTACTGTAGGAAAGCTCTTGCAGCGGATCATCCTGAAGAGGCTGACGAAATGCACGGAGAGTGAACACGGGTTGTCAGAGAGGCAGTTCGGATTCCGGAAAGGGAGATCGACAGTGGATGCAATTCGGACAGTCATTGACATAGCCGAGAAAGCTTCTAAACAAAAGCGGAGAGGAAATCGATACTACGCCGTGATTACGATTGATGTGACGAATGCATTCAATAGTGCCAGCTGGGAGGCCATTGCCAAGGCGCTCCATAGAATGAGGGTTCCAGACTACCTCTGCAGGATTCTAAGTAGTTACTTCCAGAACCGGGTCCTGGTCTACGAGACAGACACGGGGCAGAAATCGCTTAGAATCACGGCGGGAGTTCCACAAGGCTCCATTCTAGGTCTGACTAGGGTTGACTTTGCGGACGATGTCGTCTTGACGGTAACCGGTGAGACGCTGAAAGAAGTGGAAATGCTGGCAGCCGATGCGATAGATACGATTGGTAACTGGATGCAAGGAGCGAAGCTGCAGATAGCCCACCACAAAACAGAAGTGATGTTGGTCAGTAACTGCAAAGCAGTGCAGCGGAAAGAAATCACCGTTGGAGAGCACACCATTGTTTCGAAGCGCGTGCTGAAGTATCTGGGAGTGATGATCGACGACCGGCTAAACTTCAACAGCCACATCTCGAATATGCTTGCGAGAAGGCGGCGAAGGTCATCAACGCAATAGCCAGAATCATGCCGAACAATTCTGGTCCAAGCAGCAGCAAGAGGCGTCTTCTGGCTAGTGTGTCCTCATCGATACTAAGGTACGGAGGTCCAGCCTGGATTGAAGCGCTGAAAACGAAGCAGAACCAAAGGAAATTGAGCAGTACGTTCCGGCTCATGGCCATGCGAGTCGTGAGTGCGTACAGAACCATTTCGATGGAGGCGGTATGATCCCAATCGGCATCACCTTGGCGGAGGACTACGAGTGCTATATGACGAGAGAAACCAGAGCAGTACGAAACATGGTGAGAACGGGGTCGATGGCTAAGTGGCAGCAGGAGTGGGATGCAGCAGAGAACGGTAGATGGACACACAGGCTAATACCGATTCGTTCGACCTGGGTGAACAGGAAGCATGGAGAAGTCAACTTCCACTTGACGCAGTTCCTGTCTGGTCATGGCTGCTTCAGGAAGTACCTGCATCGGTTCGGACACACAACGTCTCCCTTCTGTCCGGAGTGTGGGAATGTGGAAGAATCACCAGAGCACGTGGTCTTCGAATGTGCTAGACTTGATGCTGTGCGAGATAAGATGTTCCCGAGAACCTCCGGATACAGAAGATGTTGAAGTTCGACAAGAAGTTCTTAATTTGACAAGCGATTTGTACTTCCTTTCGTTACCGCAAGCACCATGAATGGACAGGTGTATTTGGAAGAGTGTCTCCAAAAGCGGCTTCTCCCTCTCCTGAAGCCTCACGACGGTCCGACGATCTTCTGGCCGGATTTGGCACGAAGGACGTGCTAGAATGGTATAAGACGAATGATGTCGATATCATGCCGAAATATCTGAAACCCCCAAACACTCCGGAACTGGCCCAATAGAAAAATACTGGGCCATTATGAAGAAGCACCTTCTAAAACGACCTAAAGTGGTGAAGAATTTAGATGAAATGAAGAAAGCATGGGTTAATATGCAAAAAACTGTCGATTCTGAGGTCGTGTAGAACCTTATGACTGGGGTTAAGGCCTAGGTTCGCGCATTCTGGTATAAAGGCGAAATAAATTAAATGCATGATGCCAAAACTAACTTTAATTGTTTCTTTTTACACCCTGAAAATTTGGTGATAATCGGATAAAAATTTGAATTTTGAGAATGAATTTTAAACGGTACTTCCTTTACGTGCTGAAATTTTTTGAAAAAAATCAAAGATGGCATTTCGAAAATTTCACAAGATTCTAAATGGCCAAATTTTAGTAAAAATGTGAATCATTGCCCATAACAAACAATTTTCGGATTCATCCGATTTGTCATTTAGCGTGAAATTGCTCAATTTATTCGACTTGATGTTTTTTTTTTTAATTTACTAACTACTTTGGATTGTCTTAAAGTGGCTTGCAATCGACAAAAGTTTGAGAACCGCTGCATAATGTCAAAGGGACTTGTCTTCCAATAGGACGTAATGGCGTCTGAGAATGCGGGCGGTGACTAATAATGTGATGACATAAAAGGGGTCATTTCAGGATCGTGGAGAGTCTTCGATTCCAGTCAGTTGGTGTCCAATAAATTACATCAAGATACTCACTCTGGAAATTCGCCCTCCACCCGGCAAATGTACTCCTTCTGCACCTGGCGGTTCCGGATCTGGTGCTCCATTTGGCGAGCCTTCTTCGGACTCCGCCCGAACAGCAGCAGCCCCGAGGTCAACCGGTCCAGCCGATGGATCGTCCGCAGATTCTTCAGGTTGTACTCCTTGGCCAGGATGAACACGACCGTATTGTGACGGTAACGGCCACACGGATGGACCTGGGTGTACACATTGTTTACAGGTGCGCCGAAAGATTTCGGAGAAAATAGGGAAAATAATGCGTAAACATTTAATTGGAATCTGGCTGGTTTGCATTATTTGCATATCTGATTACGGTGGTATAATTAGTTGAATAATTTAATGCTAATTATTTTTAGAAAAAAAGATATGTATAGAGATAACGGGAAAATCAAAACAAACGTGAGAGGCAATTTTGGGGGACGGGGGAAGGGGGGAAATAATGGAAGCAGGAGCTTAAAGTGAAGGCAAAACACAGTCAAGTGAATTAATCATGAAAAGGTAAGCGACATTAAGGCTGTCTCTGGGTAAGATAAAGGAGATAAAAAGTGGGGTTAGTTTTTCAGCAATCAGCAGAAAGGACGCGGACAAAAAAGCGCTTAGTACAGGCAAATCTCCGTTTAGATGGAGATGAGTTGGCCGAGTTAGAGCACAAGTAATGGTAGGAATATAAACAGACAAAAACCATTAAGAGTGTGTATGTCTCAGAGGGTTCAAGGTTTGTTTGCGTGATGTTCTTTTACTTAACTTTCCTGCGAGGTGGACATGAAATGGGGGTTTGTTTTCGTTATCAGCACGCGCAGATGAGCTGTTTTTTGTCTTTTCGTAATTGGTCTCTCCACGATGAAATGGTCTCTAGAATGGGTATTTGCTGGTCTGTTTCATGGTACGCGCAATGGTTAAGGATAATCACCTTTAATGACTATAACATCGTTTGAGATGGGTACTTCTGTTTGCTTTCTTTTCGGTGTAATTGTTAAAATGTGTGTATACTTGGTTTGTCATGAAGCATTAGTTTGATGGTCAAAGTTGATTACGGTATTTGTTTCACCACCTTTCAGAGGACAGAAATATTGACTTAATCGTACGAATGGAACAACCATAAATTCCAAATGTAAATGCGGGCTGAATATATAACTTGGAACAAATCGTGTGATGGGTATCCGTGAAGGATCACTCAAAAACCGCACAACTGGATCTCAAATGCGAGCTCCATCGTCGATACCTTCAGATGTCAAGGCGTGGAAGAGGTTCGGTCCAGTCTCAAATTACAGTACCTAACTAAAATGTCATATGACAGGCTCTGTCATACGACACTATCGCCGAAGACCGTCACGAATGTATGTATTTTAGATTATCTCATAATAAGAGCTGCTGATGTTGTATTTGTGTGAATTCTAAAAATAGCAAGCAACGATGTCCTAGTAATAACATTTCTGATCAGAAATGGTTTAATTTACACCAAATTGAGGAATTAGAACGAAATCACACATGTCATATGATAGTTATTTGATAATTTTCTTTTTGCTCGAATGTTGTTCTATCGTTTGTGTTGCGTGAGAGAGACGAACGTACAGCTTGAGAGTACGAATACAAAAAGATTGTCGCGCACGACAACGAAGCGGGTGTAGCAAAAAATGTCAACTGTTTCAACCCCTGGTTCGGTCACACACACCAAAAGGGCGATAGCGTAATCCGCAAGCTGGATATTTCCGTTGAAGGCAGATTTAGAGGCTCATGGCAGCGGAACTTCAATAAAGAAATAATCTAGACAAACTCTTCATCAAGGCAAAAGCAAACAATAGCGCAGGTTGTATATTTTTTACGTGGAGTTGGAGGTGGTTACGGGATGTAAACTGGGCCTAGTCCCTCCATTTGGCCTTAAAGTTAATAGTTCCCTTTTCAGCAATATAATCCAACACGGCGAATGAGAACGACTCAAAATTGAGTTTAGTTTTTTTAAACTTCATTTAAATGAAGTTTTTTTAGTTTTTTTAACTTCATTTAAATGAAGTAAAAATATCACTAAGCAATAAAAATTGTGAACCGAAAACGAATCACTTAGTAATGAGACGAATTGAGTATACTCTCCTGCTATATGTTAATGCAAAAAACTGAACCGCAATTTGTGTTTCATTCAGTTTTTCTCACTGTTTTGCGTTCGCTGGAGAAGGAACAACAAGTTTTTCGGTGTTCATTACGCTTTTTGTTCAATTTATTAAGTGAAATTGAGTTGTTTATGACAGAGTGAGTTGAGAAAAAAAAAGCAATAATCTCAGTTCAAGGACTATTTTAGAGGGGCTGCAACATCCATTGTTGTACACTAGGCCGATTATAAACCCATGTTCCTAAAATGTTTTCTTGTGATAATGGTAACTTAAGCAACGGCTTATCGTGTCCAATTGTTACAGAAATGATTAGCGTGTATGTTGACAGTGGGATTTCGTCTGCAGGTCCATTATTTGTTGAGATATGATTAAAATCAAATTGATGGCTGCTTACTAGAGCCAGGTTAGGAACATGTACCCCATATGAGTGAGTGAGTGAGTCGTGTAACAAACAGACGTAGAATTAAAGGGTGATACGGTCAAAATTTGGTCAATATCAACTTGACGTATTTCTTTCAATTTTGCATTTAAAAAACCTGAACACCCCTCATTTTGAAGGTGTGTGTGTGTAGAAAGTTGCTCCTATTTTGATTTTGGAATTCACTCTTCAGTTGTCAAAATGCCGTCCAAGCAAGAAGAGCAGCGTATCAAAATTTTGCTTGCGCATCGCGAAAATCCGAGCTACTCGCACACAAAGTTGGCAAAATCGCTAAAAGTTGCCAAATCAACCGTTACAAATGTAATTAAAGTGTTTGGGGAACGTTTGTCGACAGCCAGGAAGTCTGGATCGGGGGGAAATCGAAAACCGGAAGCCGCTGAGACGACAAAGAGAGTTGCCGGTAGTTTCAAGCGAAACCCGGACCTCTCTCTCCGAGATGCCGCAAATAAGCTGGGTGTATCGTCTACAACCGTGCATCGAGCCAAAAAACGAGCCGGACTATCGACTTACAAGAAGGTAGTGACTCCAAATCGCGATGATAAACAAAATACGACGGCCAAAGCGCGATCCCGGAGGCTGTACACGACGATGCTGACGAAGTTTGACTGCGTGGTAATGGACGACGAAACCTACGTCAAAGCCGACTACAAGCAGCTTCCGGTACAGGAGTTTTATACGGCAAAAGGAAGGGGAAAGGTAGCAGATGTTTTCAAGCACATGAAACTGTCAAAGTTCGCAAAGAAATATCTGGTTTGGCAAGCCATCTGTACCTGTGGCTTGAAAAGCAGCATTTTCATAGCTTCCGGGACTGTCAACCAAGAAATTTACGTGAAAGAGTGTTTGAATAAACGTCTGCTGCCTTTCCTGAAGAAACACGGTTGTTCCGTACTGTTTTGGCCGGATTTGGCATCTTGCCATTACGGTAAAAAGGCCATGGAGTGGTACGCCGCCAACAACGTGCAGGTGGTTCCCAAGGACAAGAACCCTCCCAACACGCCAGAGCTTCGCCCAATTGAGAAATACTGGGCTATTGTCAAGCGGAACCTAAAGAAGACCAAAAAAACTGCTAAGGGCGAGCAGCAGTTCAAGGCAAACTGGCTTTATGCGGCGAAGAAGGTGGACAAGGTGGCTGTACAAAATCTGATGGCAGGGGTCAAGCGTAAGGCCCGGCAATTCGGATTTGGAAAAGCGGAAGCCTAACTGAATATTTTTCCTGAATTTTATACTAATTGAACTTGAAAAAGAAATTTAATTTGATTTTTTAAATAAACGATTTCACCGATTTACACGCGTTTTCCCTTGACCAAATTTTGACCGATCACCCTTTAGTCCATATTTATATGTTTAGGAAAATTACCTTGGATCTCGAACTGCCCATGATTCAACAATTAGTCGCAGGAGTGGTATGAACGCCAACTAATTTTACTATAATTTGGCCACTAGGTAAATAGTTGAAAATCGAGCGTTTTAATCAAATAAATCTAATTCATAGAGGTTCTTGCAATAAAGACCAAAACTATATCTATTCACCATGGTCCTCTAGGGTGTACGATCAATTTCGAAGTACACTGTATGGTTAATATAGGGCTTCCCAACTATATATCAGCTGTACTGCTGCTCTTTGCATGTCGGTCCCATAGTCGTTTTGGAAAAAGTTTGGAAAGACAGTCCAATTGGTTGTCCCATCGATATTTGAAATATTATAATCATAAAAAAATATTTCGGCTAAGTAATCTAAAGGAAAATGTTTTTTTTTTCAATTATAATAATACTAAGTAAAATCGACGTTTTCGGAGGGCGGACTTATATTTTTCGATGTTTTCAAGCACATTTAATGAGAACAATTTTAATAATTTTGAAAATTGAATAGGATTTTTATATGATCAGTTTATATTTCAATTATTTTGTTAAGATCGGATGGTATTTATGAATCCTTTTCTATCTTGATTGATGATTTTTCTAGTGGATTCAGCAAGCGGCTAGGGAAAATGGCTTGAAAAAGGTTTTTATTGTTGCCAAATAGCTTTTATTGTAGCTTAAATACGGGTTTCAATTGGTTCTTAATACGTTCGTCATACAACTTTTTTGCAGTAAATCAATCTTGAAGAGGTTCGAAAATATACCCTTCAGAACCTTCTCCAGGATGGGCCATCTAGACAGATTCTAGTCTTAATGAGGTTTTGGTAGATGCATGAATGGCAAAGTAGCTTTGACCAGGGGTTTATGAATGTTGTTTTATAGTAGCTTTGTATTACCAAATAAAACTTAAAATGTTACCTGGGTTATCCAGCCCCCTGCAATGAGATCCGGTGAAACTACCGAAAACATCAACAGCTATGCTGCTCAATAACATATTAAAGCTCCAAGCAAGAAATGCGGCAAGATGGCAACAAATTCAATGCCCTCAAAACCATTCAGAATTTCCCGCAATGATCAACTAAAAATTGATTAATTTGTGTGATTCTTGCTTCACTGAATAACGTTACCTAAAAAATGTTCTCTATTTTGCGCAACGCCTCGCTTCATGTATCAAGCTTAATCGTAGAGGAAAACTGCTAGAAGGACCGTTCAAATTAGTACCAGAGAAATTTCGAGTTGTTCGCAGATGACAGGCGTTGCATTATCGAATTCAATCTGTTCAGCTTCTTCAGAG